GCCAAATTGCCTGCCTTCACAGCACCGCCAAACGCTTCGAAGGACATCTCATCCAGCTCAAGAAAAGCATCCACCGCGGAAATTTGCCTCGAGGGTGACGTCGCCGTCTTCCTCTCCCGTCATACCGTTGACAAGCGTATATAGCTGTGCGCTTTCGTCGATGGTAGACCTCTGGGTCAGGGTCGATGCCTTATGACTTGCAGATAACATACGGCATCGCCGTCTCCTCTCTATAGTAATTTTTCGGTCTATCGAGACCAATGGGAATACGCACTCAGCATCGTCTAGTGTCCCCACTCCCTGCTCCGTCGGAGCCTTGTTATTATTAACACAATCCAACAAAGAGCAGCTACTTCCGCAGTCTTCGACCAGTGGATAAAATGCCACTCCGCACGCATCAATTGAGCCTTGTCCAAGATGCCTTGGACCTCGTCCGACCATGCCAATATTGGCATGCAGCAACTGCTTCGAGAAGTCAATGGATTACGTGCCACTCCATCACTGGGGCCACGCCCTCGATGCCTCGGCCCTTGGCTGACTATGCCACTCGAGGCATGCAGCAACTTCTTCGATACTTGAGCAGCGCTCAGTGGGTTACGTGCCACACCACGTTCAACCAGCGAGCCATGCTCGGTACTCACGTTCGATACACCTTTGGTGTTTAACGACTCGGATAATCCCATATCCAGCACATTGACCGTCCCGGTCCAGTGCCTGTGCCAATAGCGTTCTACGTCCTACAGAGGTGAGTTAATGACTCACCAAAGCTCACCAGGAGATGTGCGCGTAGCGTCCAAGGTCTTCGACCTCCAATCAATCCATGGCTCATGGTGCTCCAACCATGCCATACCAAGGATTAGGTCATTCGTTGCATTCAAGTCGATGTCTAAGCAGTTTCCACGCTATCAAAGTCAAGAAACTTGAAACCGAGGTCCACAGGGACCCTCGGCACAGTGACAGTGTAACTCAACCGCGCTTTCAGCGTCTCAGCATACAGCTGACTTCCTTCGATCGTGGAGCATCTAGCATAATTGCTCGACGCCTCGGAGTCGATAAGGGTCTTCCGTGGCCTCTCAAAACCTTTCACGGTTGCTTTTACGACCTGGGGCTGGCCTCTGCTGCTATCTACCTCTTTGAGGCTCAACAGAACTTGGTTCTCGCCCAGTAGGGCGTCTCGTGCCTACCGGGTTTTCTTGTTTCCCCGCGCCAAACCAGACTGGTTTGAAGCGGGATGTCGTTTCGACTAACCTTTACGTGCCTTGCACAGGGGACGACCAGTCCGGAGAAGACGGATATCTCCACAGAACAAACACCGTTGGGGCTTTAAACGCTGCTTGGCAGTTCGAAGCTCTCCCTGCTCTTTTTCAGCATAGTTGAGATCCAATGGCTCAGGCCCGCTCGACGAGCCGTTAGGGTGTGCAGTCCAACCAAGTCGTGCCGACTAGAAGTTGAATTTCCACTTTCACCGCTTCTTCAAAAGAAGACGGATGCATACGGAAGACTTCACACCGGTGCGAAGGGCACGGTCACTGTGACCGCCTCGGGGACAGGATCGGCTGCCATCTCGGCAGTGAGGGCGCGCACTCTTGGACAAAGTTCACCAACTCCTTCTTGCCCTACCGGGTGGCAAGGAAACGCGATCGCACGCGATATGCCTGGTTAGGCGGCGAGAACATTTACAAAAGCTGACGCCTGAGCTACTTCCAGAAAGGAAATGCCGCTTCGACCGAAATACCTCACGTTAGTGCCCACTCTCACACTCGGCCCCTGAGCCTGGAGATGGCTAGCGCCACGCACTGAAGCTCGTTCTGAAGCATGGCGGATACCATAGTCATCTCAGCCTCTCTTACTAGCAGGAGACTCTCTCCATTCTTACCCCTAGAGTCCTTAACGCCATCATAAGCGGTCTGGGTCGGGAAGCTCTTCGCTTAGAGGAAGGTAAAAGAGGTCACCGACATTATCATTTTTACAAGAACTAGTACGAGCGCAGCGAATCGCAAACCGCTGCCTCCAAGAGTACTGAAAATGTTAATCAAGGTACAAAGTCTTGTCTGTTCTAAATTGAAACTATGTTTAATTGTTTTATTTGCGGCACAGCCGCCAATATCTAAAACCCTAGATTTTCCTTATCTATATAGTAATACCTATTTAATATAGTAAAAAGCTGATCAACATGCATGACTAATGGCAGTCCTGCGACGAAGTGGCTTCTTGCTACGGTGTAGCCACACCATTGTGTGATTACACCGACTTGTGTATTCTACACCTTTGTACGGTCACACCATCTTGTGTGACCCACCCTTTTTATACCAGGGTGCGTGTAACCCCGTTACTATATATCTCACTACGGTGTGTACTCTGAGCCGGATGACTGTTTGTGCCACAGATACTGCCTTACGGGATAGCGGCATTCAATCTTCTGGCGACGCAACTGTTCAGGTCACATCGTGGCTATACTCAAATACATTTTAAATGATACATTCGTCCAAAGTCACGCAGAGCGCGAGAAATTGGACGCGGGCAGCCACAATAAAGACATGCGAACAGTGCTCGAATGTATGCGCTTTTTAAAAGGTGTTTGCTAATATTGACAAGTATGTCTTAGGCGCCAACAATATTCTTTTCTGGACCTTGTGACTTTTGTGAGCCGTTTAACCAAAACTGCTCGTCTTCCTTAAAACTGCATGCGCGGAGGATCCGCAGTGGTGAGGCTAGTAGCTCTCACATCAGTCTACCTTTGATAGCGTACATAGTTGATTTGTAACCCCCCAACCTTTTAAAACCGCCACGATGACTTCTTTTTAGTGAAGCAAAGACTGGTGATTGCTCTCGCCTTAATGATCCCAGCTCGATACTTTTCGAGGCAAAATCTTTTAATTTAATGAGATTAAGAGTCATGTACAGGTGTACGACGATATGACTGAGCTTCAAACCGAACAAACTTACACGTCGATTCTAGAGGCAGGCAGAAGTCTTATGGATATGTAGCGAGACAAAGAGATTTAAATTAACATAGCTTTGCATAGAGTGTCTGTGAAGTATAAGGCTAAAGTGCGACCGCGCTTTATCAGACCCTTCACAGTCGCTGCGAAGGTGGCTTAACCAGAATGCAGACCCACCGTGTACTCTACGCAAATTACTGATATCATACCACAATCCAAATATTATGAACCAGTCTAGTATAAACATCTCTGTTGTAGGTGGAGCAGTGTCTCTGCCATTTCTTGTTGCTGAGCTTCCTCTGCTCCATGAAAGCGACGCGATTATATAGGGGTCTTCGATCCACACATTGCGATGGTATGTTCCAGGAACATATCGAGACCTGACTCATTTTGGTGTCGAGCACATACTGAGACACTCAGAGAGTCGACATGCCATCCAACCGAGATGGATCACTGAGACACTCGCAACAGGCTTATCACCTGGCGCACCCCCGGCGTTCATAACTCTTTGAGAAGAGGTTGGACCGAAAGCTTGTCGCAGCTCGTTGACCGTTAGTAGGCGAAGAGCAACCTTGTGGTGAGAAAGACCCTTTGTATGTTACTGTTACTACTGTTTTATAGGACTGAGCCAGCAGGAACTACAGGTTTTGGGCTGTTCTCTCGACGATCTCGTAGTGCTTTGTACATTCAAAAGTCAAGTATGAGATGATGCTCGAAAGGTGTATCCGCTTTGCTGAAGCTGGTATGAAAAGGTTTAGGACAGTTAAAAAGGCGTGTTGGTCCCACCTATTTAGGAAATTATCATACTCATGGGCATTTGTGCCAACTTCTAGTACCCAAGGTACATCCCGCATGAAGGTTTCTTCAACCGTTGTTGCTCTAAGCGCAGGCAACACCCTCGAAAAGTGATGCTCTGTGGCTTAAAAAAGTGCTTGGAGCGACTTTACGTGTTTGTTATGCTCTTGTTTTGAGCAGTAGGCTCACACGCAAAGGCGCGTACATGTTTCGCACCAGCGCTGAAGGCGACTTTGACGACTTGAAGCGTTATCACGGCGTGATGATTTGGGTACGGGCTGTTGTGACTCTTGCGCTTGCGTCAGAGCAAGCCTGATTTGTCGTCCTCTACGCCATGGGGTGTTGCAACACAATCGTCGAAGAAGAGGGGCATGGAGTCCTATACTCGTGCGGCGGAGAGTTTGAGCGCATTGAGTGCCTTCCTTCTCGGAACAACTTGACAGTGTGTCACCAGGTTATGGGGATGCCACATGACCCGAACTCGACGTGTCACTGCGACTATATGCAGTAGAAAACATTTCAGCATCTTTCTCGAATTTTTTCTTAAGCGTGTTGAGTGCGAAGACCAGATCTTTTGTGAAACCTCGTTGACAATGAAAAAGGATTCTCAGAGCAACTTTTTCTGAGGACCCGGCGCGGTTGCTAGTGAAGCGGTACCTTTTGCGCAGTATTTGATGAAGTATGAGTTTTATTATGGTCTAAATCTTAGTGAGGAAGGGTGCCACAGGTTTAGTAGTGTAACCCTGTGTACTTAGTCATTACAACTCTAGTAAGATTGTATACAAAGCACATTTTTTTCATTGCCTACATTCATAACTATGGAAGTATCGATAATGATGAAACTTCAAAGAGACAAAAATCTGTGGTTACATCTTTATTTAGTATTTGTTTGAGCATAATGAACCTCATCTATGTGTTACCTTGTAAAAACAGAGCCGAATAGATAGCTAGTTACAGTTGAGGCTTCGGTTATGTCATGTTGGGATTGCACAGCAAAACTCTCTGTGCGTTTGCCACTATGGACTTTTACAGTTGGGATTCCATCTGCGCAAGGTGCACGGCGATCCCGTCGCACACACCGTGTTAGGACGATTTGACAGCAAAAGACGCGTTTGTAGTCTTGAATTATCGGTATTGCACACGTGAAGGAAAACGACATTATGTGCTCACTAATAACTTCATTCGCGAGCATATTCACGATGAAGGGATCCAAAGCTTTACACTCTAATCTCCGTTGGTCACGATAACAGGTGTTATGCACTTATGCGTTTGGTAGTACGGCACTATGGTGGAAGCCGTGGCCGGCTGCTACGTGACAGGGAGCATGGTGTGATTATAAAAACGCACATTTGCTTTGTTCGCAATTTTGCCGCCGTCGAGCGCTACCACCACAATGAGCTCCTAGAATACTTCAACGGCGAGTTTGCAGGTCATAATTTTGAAGACCAGACACGAGAGCTTACTTCAATTTGTACCTTGGGCCGGCCCAATGTACCTTTCAAGCAAAAATGTTACCGCAGAAGATCCTAGACGACTTGAACAATTCTTAAAGACGCTTTGTCAGCATGTGATTGCAAGCTTCCCCGTCATATTGCCCAGTTTAAAAAGAAATACGTTCGTAGATGCGGAGTTTGCAAAAACGTGGGTCATTACAGCAAATTTGTGATGAAGTGTAATCTTTATGGCCGTCAGGTAAATTATTTTCATGCTAGAGATAGCTTTGCATGGGTCACTTTCTGATGTTTTCATTTGTCACTTTCTCTTTATGCGCACTTGATGTATTCTTGCGTTATATACATACATAATTATACTCGAAGTAGTATACACTTGGTGTATTTTTCTATTCTTCAAATTTCTGGTATATTGTTCTAATTTTCTGCTTATCTAGTAGATTTTTTTATTTTGTTGTTTTCGTAATTTGCCGTATTGCTACTTCTACTAAATCAAGATATCAACCGTGAGCTTAACCAAAATTTCAATTGCGAGCATAGCAACGAGTGTAACTTAAAAATTATCGTCGATTACCATGGGCACGAAGCATGCCTGCGAATTTATTTTAGTGGTATGGCCTCTGCACTTCGCATTTTTGTTAGGAACTGAAACTTTATACACCTTTGCAATCGCATCGGCACTAAGCTTCATTGAGTTCCAATCGAAGGTTTTTAAGGCCGATGGCATAAATAGGGAATGTCTTTTACTGGTCGATATTTAGTCCAGGACGTCATGCATATGAATGTGGGGGGCTTACGGCAAGGTCCGTCGATAGAATTCCTGTTTCAAATGAACAGCTTGAATTCTCGACATGACACATCAACTCATCGTTTATTTAGCATAAATAGCATCCCTTTACCGAACTCAATAACTCGACTTGAGACCTCGCCGTTTCCGAGACACCCAAGTACGTCTTACAAACGCAAACCGCATAAGAAGCGCCTTTGTTTTGCTGAAGATGAGTTCCTAAAAACACTGTAATTTGATGCTCAAGAATTTTTGATGTGCGACAACTTCAAACGGTGCGATAAAATTGTCCTCTATGATACTTGAACAGTAGCAGCGAGATTTTGAACAATAGTCGTTAATGGTCATGACAAGACAAGTCAGTAACATGTTGAGAACCGGCCGTGTCCATGTAGAAATTTCAGCGGTAAAATGATTATCTAGAATTACTGGCTTCCCTTCCTCCCGCAAATTTGTCGACAGTGTTTGGTCCACGTAACGTCCTTCACGACATGTTTGTGGATTGAAAAGAAGACTTGGACATTCGATTAGTGTCGAATTAATTGGCTGAAAAGCTATATGCGTCAAGGACGTTGTCGTTTTATCGCCCGTGCAGCACTGTACACTCACCAGTATATGAATTACTTCGCATTTCACACAGTAAGTAACCTATTAGTGTATTGCTTAACGTCTGGATTCCGCCACACCTAGAACGTATCAACTCTTTCAATGATGATGAACGCACCGAGTCATCAAGCAAAACTTCAGTGGAAGGTCTCCATCTACGATCTATCTGATCGATTGACATTGGTACTCAGAAGTTTAAAATTTGCTGGTCTCATACCTTACGTCGTCTAGGAGGGAAGACGATTTAATGGTATCTTGGAGTTGTAATGATGAAAAGAACAAGCTGTCGTCAGAATATCACTGCAGTCAAACGTGAATCGTGCAGCAATTACAAATACATTACATTGTAATCAGCATTTTTCACAATATTTTTAAAATTGGATTTACAATTACGTTCAGACGCGAGTTCAAGAATGCGTCGAGATCGTCGGTTGGCAATTAGTGTCGTATATTCGTCTTATCAACGTCACTTATCTGACGACTGTAATTTATCTGTTAGGCCATTACATACTCACCTATAAGTCAACAATTTACAGCAAGTATGACAATAATTTTAGCCTGAGAGCAAAATTGAGAAATTAAATCTAAACTAATACAAATTGTCCAGCCAAGTAACAACAAAGTGACGTTAAAAGGTTAGAGCTTTGTTTCGCTAGTGGCGATTAAAATACTTTCAAACTGAATTGACACGGTTTGTAGTCCCGAAGAATACATTCTTTTTGCAATTGTAGTTGGGAATCGAAGCATGTATGAACTCAAGCTAATAATTAAGTTTATTTTCGCAACCTTGTCAAAAAACATCGCCGCACGAAATAAACCGGCGCTCTATTACTTTATCACCCTTTCTGCATGAAAACAAAAGCGAGTATTTTTCTTTATTGTTTAAACAGCACACTGTAGATATGGAGGAGCACGTGGTGGAACGAATTCGCCAGCGTGTGCTGCTGGAGCTGTTTAATTTAGATCCTGTGGTCACACCAGCGCCATCGCAAGCAACGTGGCCACAATGGACTGAAAAGGACAAGCAGCAAGTGAAGATCCGCGTGCTGAGTCTTAATGCCTGGGGTACGTCTTCTATTAGATAATGATAATAGAAATGTTAGACATTTACTTGATGGATACCATAGGACTACCAGTCGCCCCCCAATGTACGGAGCGTGCCGCTGAGATTGCCAGTGCCATTTCAAGTGACTTTGAGCTGGTGGTATTGCAGGAAATCTGGCACATTCGCGAGCGAAATCTCATCATTTCTAAAGTCCAGCAAAGTGGTTTTCATTACTATCACTACTTTAATTCGGCCGTAGGCTTTCCAATACCAATGGGTCCAGACTCTTTTGGTACAGGACTACTAGTATTGTCCAAATATCCCATTTCCAGCGCGTTTTTTCACTCCTTTAGTCTTAGTGGACGTCCCTATGCGCTCCATGAGTCGGATTTTGTCGCGAATAAAGGAGTTGGCCTTTTGCGAGTGGAGACACCGGCAGGACAGATCGATGTTTATGCAACGCACTTGTTGGCCAATTACAACGCACGAGGTGAACCTGGCCCAGGAGATATTTACCAGGTGCATCGAACGGGTCAGAGTTACGAGCTCACGAAGTTTATTGCAGCAACGACGAGAAACCGTTTTATGCTCGTCTGCGGGGACTTTAATTCATCTCCTGATTGTCTGGAGCTTCGAGTACCTAAGCAGTTGCTGTGTCTGAGAGATGCGTACACAGACACAAACGATGAAGACGGACTGACGTTTGCATCGCCTGATAACAAGTTTTCGCATGGAGATCACCCTATGCGTATGGACTACGTCATGTACAGAATTGAAAAGCAGCCAAAAGGAGATTTAGATTGGCACTTGGTAAATAGCGGCATTTATAAAGGCTTTTTCACGGATGCACGAGGCGAAAAGACGCCACTGTCGGATCATTTTGGCGTTCAAGCCGAATTCATTTACAGTCAACCCCGCTCGCGAGTCTGTGGACAGCAGGAAGGTTACGACGTAGTTTCTGCAAATGAATTGGCATCACCAAAAGCAACAAAAGAGCAAGAGCTTTTTTGCTTGACGACGATCAACTCACACTGTGACAAGAATGTGATGAAACAGAACGGTGGAGACAAAGTGGCAGCGGATTCCGCATGTCTTTCTGAGGTCCAACAACTACTAATGATTGGTCGGAACAGAGCAATTGCAGCGCGTCATCTTCGTTTATGGCGTGCCGTGACCTTCCTTGTGGCAGCATTAGCCATTCTTGTATCACACATGATGTCGATCATAGTTTCGAGATGGTCCTGGATTGTTGTTTTGATCTTTGGCGTGATTAGTGTGACTGAGTACGTCCTGGCCTTCTTCTTTTTGACCTTTGAGTGTTCGACATTCACCGAGCTCATAAATCAGGTGCAATTGCACCTTCACTTGCAAGCACATCGGACGGAAGAATTGAAAGTGGTGGAAGCAGCAATTTGACCGACATGGAATTGGGATACATAAAATACAGATTGTGAATGAATGCAACAAATGCGTAAGTAGAATCAAAAGTAAAAACATGCGGCTCGATGGTAGAGCTTCGATTTCTTTTAATTGTGAATTCATACTTTTTTTATATGTCCATGATCAAATTCTACGAACTAGCTTAGTTTATGAGCATCTTCCTTTGTGCAAGGTGCACCTGCAGAATCAATTTCCTGGGCATTGAATATTGGACTCGAAGGGTCACAGCTTCCTCAGTGCGAGTTGCACAGTGAGATGCTTGGTAATCCGAAGCATGCTGCAGTATCTTAATTCCGTAACACTTTGCTCGACAGCTCACCTTTTGCTGAGTGTACTTTAATATTCACCCATCTCTCTCTTACAAGATTTCTCGGCTCGAAAGACTCTATTTTCGCAATATTACTTGCTATGAAGTCAAGAAGCTTTTATATTATCTACTACTAATTATTAAGCTTACACATATCTTGCAACCTAAGCGCTTCTTCGAGGCAGCGAATCATCTATGCCTCGTTGTAGTTTCCGATGTAATAAAGAATACAGGCCGCTCATTGCTCTGCAATGGATGATTGTTGACTTTTTAATGAATAACTGATGGGAATAAAAGCATAAGAGCATGCAGATGTTTGGTTGCACATAATAAAAGGTGTTTGTCGCAGGTAAAACGTACGTCTGGTCAAGTAAAGTCAGTATTACTTTTAACTGTTTGACAAACGTAAGTTAATCGGTTGTGCTTTTTTGAAAATGTCATTGTTGGACGCGAATATCGTTGAGAAAATATTTTTGCTTTCAGGACAAATCATTCGCTGTTGTCGTTGGCTTTTGACGCCTATTTTACATCATGACGTCCACTTACATCATGACTTTCTCGGCATTTTGTCAAAAGTGTAGCAAAACTCGACCAAAAAACTACATGAGGAACAATTGCAATGCCAAACATGTAATAGATGACATTAGACGTAAGCTCTGTAGATAGAAAGTACTGGGATCTATCTCTCCTGCACATTTTTGAGGATGTCTAAGCAAAAGTTGCCAATGTTTCAGGAGCCAGTGGCGTGATCTCAACCTCCATTGGACCCTTTACCGGAATTGCGATGGAAAATTCATACGTAAGTTTCCACGGATCCTCCACTGTTTTGACCTCATACTTGCTAAAGAGGGTCGCCAATGTCATCTTGAGTTGCATTATGGCGAATCGCTGACCAATGCATATGTGAGGACCACAGCCGAAAGCGCTGAACTTGAACGGTGAATAAACACGCACTTTTCCAGTTTCGGGGTTGATCATGCGCTCGGGCTTGAACTCAAGTGCGTCGTCACCCCACGAATTTTTATTGCGTCCGTTGCAAAACGATGACATCATTATTGTCTGGCCCTTTTTGATGAACGTGCCGTCTACAAGTGTCGTGTCCTGCATACACTCACGTGCGATAAATCCGGTGGATGGCGTAAGACGAAGGTTTTCTTTGATAGCGGCTTCCAAGTACACGAGGTTGCGCACTTGTTCTTGCGTCGGCACGCGAATTTCACCAGTCAATAGCCCTGGTAACTTCTCCTTGATCTCCTCTCGAATCTTACGCAGCACGGCCGGATATCTGTTCATCATGACAATAAACCAGCACATGCTGTGCGCAGTCGTGTCCTTACCAGCAAAGATGAACGTCATGACCATATCGCGCATAATAGTGATCTCGTCGTCTTCGATCTGCATGTCTTCGGTCTCTCTTAAATTACTCTCCATGAAAAGAGAGATGAGATCCTTTCCTTCCATCTTTTCACCCTTTGCCGCAAGTTCCGTCTTTTTTTTCATCGACTCCATGATGACGTGATTGATGAAATTGTGCATCATTGCAACATCTTTTTGAAAAACTTTTTCCCATCCAACATTAAAAAACCTTTTGATCCTCCAGATCCAAATGGGTGTTTGAATACGAACAGCAAAACTCACGCAAGCACTATCGAAAGCTTGTAAGAATTCATGATCCGTCTCGCGATTAGGACTGTCTTTAAGCGTATTGAGCTCCACACCAAAACCAGTTTTTGATATAACATCCATCGTGAAATGGAGAAGCTCCTTTTTGATACTAAATGGTTTCCCGCGTTTGTGATAAATATCTAGCACATCCAAAAAGACCCCCAGCTTCTCTTGGACAGTGATATCCATAGCATCTTTCATCATCTGCATCGAAAAGAGATGACTAGCCGTCTTACGATGGTAATACCACTGATCTCCATCTGCAATAATCATACCCTTTCCAAAAATATCATAACTAATGTACTGCCCCACAGGACCACGCAAGAAAATGTTCTCTTGAGTCGACATAACATCTTCAATGGTCTCAGGTGATGAAAGTACAATAGATTCGGGTCGTCCTGGGATATGATACATCCACGGACGATGGTTAAATTCAACACATTGCTCGAATAACCAGTCGTGAAATCGATCGACAGTGCCAGCAATGTCAATTAAGCTCTTAAGAATGGGTAATGTCGTCTTGGGCATCGGGGGAACCATTCGAGTCTCGCATGAGGTCAATTTCTTTGTGCTATGTAGCAATAGTGATAGCCCCAGAGTCACAGCGATAGCAGTTGCAGCGGTGACTGCTACGTCATTTCGATTAATGAAGAGCTCCGAGACAGATTTCATGATGACACGTTAAGATATCCAAATTTATTATAATAACTCGGTTTCAAAATAAAAAAGTAATATATATTGATATTGAAAAGCAATAAATGTACGCTATTTAACATTATTCACTGATTACCGAAATACTTTGGTCTATATACTTCCTTTGTTATTAATACCATGTTTCAATCACTGATACTTCTCTTGCGTCTGCTGCGTCACATGCATTTACTTCTTGATGAATTCTCATCCACACATTGTAGCTGTGCTTGCGTCGTAATTGAAGACGCTCATTTTATCTGTTAGATTTATTTTCGTGCTAACATCAAAATCTGATTTTGAGAATTTCTACTGTCTTCAAAGAACGATCAGTAAGTGTTGAAAGATAAGAAGAGCAGCAGCCAAATCAACAGATGTGTGTTTGCTTCAAGAGATCAAGAGCAAATCACACAACTGAGAAACACAGCAAATACCAACGCATATCAATCTCGCTAGTTGCCATCGTCGCGCATGTTGTTCCACTTAGAGATCAGTTACAACGATTACGAGCTTGCACAAGTAAGAACATTACACCAAATCGTGACCAAAGTATGCACACGAGAAGCACTTCTGTAAAACACCACCAAAGTATGCTATCAATTGCATTAGCTCCGAGCTAGTTGTTCCGTAGTGATACGTGTATCAATGTTTGACCACGTATAATGAAGTGGCAAACGAAGCTGTGTAATTCGAGTTCCATCCCGCGTGTTTCTACTGCTCGAATTGATGGCGTGAAAGTGACAAATATCATGGAGCAGCATCCGAAAGAAACTGTCACGCATTGCTAACGTTAAAGTGCTTGACGAAACTTCCCACTTTCGAAATTGAAGTTGCTCCACGCATGGCGCTAAATCATGTTCAAATACGGTCATTTGTGTTCGACAAGCCTCTGTTTTATGTTGTGCGAACAATACAACGATCTCTTCCAGACAAAAGAGAAAACGTCGGTGAACAAAACGTTTTAAATTACGAGTCATACAACCAGCCGTGACAGCAAAACTTTCTCTTGTTTTGCTTTTCTTTTGTCTTTTTCTACGCTGAAAACGATCGGACAAATTGTCGCTTTGCTTTTGCTGAGTTTGTCGCCCTTCATTTAGCGCATCGAATGAACTCTGAAACATATTTGAGATGCATTGCCGAATATTGAGTGATGGTTGAAATTCACATCTTTCAAGCGCAGCTTGTGATACTTCCCTCTCTCCAAGAGCATGTAGATCATCACAAGCTTGGCTGTTCATAAACATTCGTGCTTCATTAATTGACCGCCTCATCGCGATTAGTGATTCTCTCTCTGGAATTTGTACCACTATCAATTGTTCTTGACTTGAATTTGCAGCACTATAGAGCGCGTTACAAATAGTCGTGATCAAAACGTTGCTCTGTTTGATTACAGCCATTGATACCGTGACAACAGCACTATAAAAACCTACAAAGGCACGAAGAGTGTTGGCTAGTCGAGACTCCTCTTGCAGTCGTCGCACGGCTTCTTCGGCACAATTGATTCCTAAATTGTCATGTAAAGCAACTTCTGCGATACCTAGTGCAATTGCACTAACTGCAAGATTGGTGATTGAAAGGATACGCTGCCTTTGTCGTGTCAGATCTGCTGGAGTCATAAATATTGAACATTTTCTCGACTGCAGAGAAACATGAGGCAAGGCGAGCAACCAGCTAATTCTTTCAGAGAGAACTGCCATTCCATAAACCTTAAATACTTCAAAAATCTCCTGGGAAGTCCGTAAAATGTGTTGATCGTCAAGCTGAACCATGGCAAGTCGCACACTTTCTACTCGAATTGTAGAAACGTTCTTTATTGCAGTGAAATAATGATATGGTTCCTGAGTATCTACCTTTGATAACGTATACACGCGCACGCAGGATCTTTCGTCTTGGACATTTTCAAGCAATTCGAGTCCATCCGTCACGATAAGTTCTCCCGTACTTTCATCCAGTCGTTCGTCAGGTAAACACGCGAATGAGTTAAAAGCTAAACTTAGTGGACCTTTCGCTGACAATTCTGTCTCTCCTTTCTCCTTAGCTGCCGCCTTTAGCTCTGCAAAATGACATTGAAGCATCATGGCAACTAGCATGTCCAGATGAGCTTGATAAATGTCCGAGTTCTCCTTACATTGATGCAATTTAAACACCAATTCACCAACCACAGCCTCCACTACATCCGCACGCTGTTTCATCTTCGCATCTTTTCGACTTGTGTCATGGCGTTGAACAGCTGCGTACCCCATAACATCGTACACCTGAGCTAAGTTATAATTTGTCACGATCGCCAATCTTAAGTTGCGAAAAACCCGCGCGCTCAATGGTGCGATGTGAAATTGCGACAACAGACAGCGCCCTACAAGCTCTCCAACGACAGCGTCTCCTAGCCACTCGAACACATCCACGAGTGCAGCACTGGATGAACAATTTTGCAGCGCCTGGAAATCCGAAATAGCTATCGATGATGCTTCGGAAATACGAGATATGTTGAGCGAATGTAAATTTTTCTGCCGCTTCGTAACTTTAAATTGCGCGGAGTATTCACTCGATGATCGGCGACTGCGCGAGTGCCCATATCGACGCTTTTTAGTCATGTTAAAAATTGGAACATTCAAATATTGTTATATAGTGTGCTTGATGCGTTTCTGATGTTAATGATAATTATATCTTAATGTTTTAGTATCAAAATGTAGAGAGAGCTGTGAAGCTATAGCAAGTGTGTAACGGGGTTACATGAGAGTGACCCGTCACTCTCCCAAGGGAGCTGTGGTATGGCA